ACAGAATCGATCAAGCCCTAGAATATCCTCTTCAATCTCAAGCACATCCCCCAGACTAACCATCAATTCCTTCACATAGTTATCTGACCTACAATTGAACGGAAAATTTTTGATTCGCTCCCAAAAAGGTGAAAGATACAACAAGACTTTCTCTGGTTGCTCATCCCCTTCAACCTCTTTCAACACAAGTGTAGACACCTAAAAATGTCTCCCCAAAACCAAACCCGATGATGAACACCTTTCACCGCCATTATTGGTTGGGTTGAGTATTTAATCTTTGGAGTGCTTAAATTTATGTTCTATCCAATACATTTCATAAACTAATCCATTTCCTAGCTTATTTCCCTAAACCATAACTTGTTATCCACTTTTCGTGTCCACATCGCAAAACCGAGAGAAATTGATTTTTTTTCTTATAATTTTGATCTAGTTATTATTTGGTTGGATAGGCCTTGAAATAAGCTTTACAAACATATATCATAAGCCCAATTCCAATCTATAACGAAAAAGATATGAGCAAAACACTAAACTCGGCCCAAAACCGAAACCCTTCCAATAAAACGTCCATATCTTAAAATATACAAATTATTTTGACCTTATTTTAATTGGATTGAAAAGTAGCTTGATAAGATTTTCAATGATATATTATATGCCTTATTCCGAGTTACGGATCAAAAGTTATGATGATTTTAAAAACGGGTAAAAAACTGGAATTACCGCGCACAATATAAAAGCACCGTGTCATGATGCCTGATGACATGGCACGGTGCCTGGTGCCATGACACAGTATTTTACATCGTTTCACGGCACTATTTTTGAAGATTTTTCGCGTGAAAATCCACCGTGGCACGGTACCTGATGCCGTGACACGGTATAATTCACCGTGTCACGGTGCTTTTTCCGTGTAATTTCCGCGTTTTCCCATACTGTGACGCAATGTACTGTACCGTGCCACAGTGGACACTTCCGTGTCATGGTACGTGTGCCGTGTCACAGAATTTTCTCGTGTCTTTTCCGCGTAAACCCTTCACGCGTTTTCACTTCCCGTAGGTTAAATATGTCCCGCCTCGCTCCAATTTTCCCCGCATCACGGGATTTTTCCCCGTCTGACGGTGCCTGGCACCGTGTCGCGGTGTTAATTTTTAGGGTTATTATCTTTTTAGGGTTCCGTGTGTTCCCTCTGCTCATTTTCCCTATAAATAGGACCTCTCTTTCTGCAGTTCAGGGCATCAAATCCTTCTCTCTTTCCCTCTTTTACACCTTAAATCATTCTCTTCTCTTCTCTCATATTCTAAGCTTTAAACCTATATTTCTAATTACACCATTTTCCCTTAAGCACTCCAAGGAGTCTATACTGAACCCGAGGTTCCGTCCTTAAACCAAGGTGTGAAAGGCGCAAATAACTGAAGGTTTGGACCAAATCAAATCTACATTTATTTAATTTAATTTCATATTTTTATTGAAGTTACTAACAGTTTATTCATGATGTAGCAATTTTAAGGAACGGGCGGAATGTGAGTAATTAATTAATTTAATCACTTATTTTATTTTATTTTATTTTATTTAAACATAATTAATTATTTTATTTTAATATTGCTAGTATCATGATTAGGTTATTATTATTTGATTTGACTAACAATTTATTGTTGAATTGCTTCCAATATTAATGTTTATTCTATTATATTTATTATGATCACCATATTGCATGTTAAAGGGAATATGTAATTGAAAATCACGACTAATAAAATAATTTAGACGACCAGTTTAGGTTCCTTTTTAATCTTGTTGTTTAATCAAGTGATCACGATATTTTAGAATTATATGTTGCATTAATATTCAGCCAATTTAGCTCAATAATAGTTTGGAGCAAATTGAATCTTTGTTTGCATGCCTTTGAGATCGCATGAATCACTTTTCACTATAAGAATCGAGTAGAGGCCAATACGGGCGAATGTGACTCCATGACTTACTTCGTACCACCATCCCCGATCCTCCTTTCGTGGTTTCGAACCATATGGAGTTAGTAATCTCATGGATTATGAATGGGGTGTAACTTTCACGGGTTAATCATTGTTGCCTTTCGTTGTCCCTTAACTGTGGTTGCCTTTTATGATCCGTGAACGATTTACAAATTCCTTAAAAACTTGTTGGCGGCTCCCTACTTTCCCTGTCCCTAATCGTATATGTCTATTCCCACTACCTATGAGTACCAAACATATTCACACATGCTTTAACGTAGGCGCACTTCAAACGACGCCTACAACAAGCAACATGTTATCAAAGCACCAAGGCCTACCATTCAAAACCTTTTCCTTATCCCTCCAATGGAAAAATTGGAATGCATAAAGATTTGGTCCAAGAACCCTAATAACCAGTTTATCGGACAACGCCCATACCTTAGTCATCGCTGATTTGAAGGCTTCTACATTATGTGGACGTTCAGTAGCAATCCTCCCAATAAGCATAAGGTTAAATTTCTCCTTCGACTCCTCTGACTCCACAACTCCTAAATCAACAACACCACAACCTTTCTCCTCGTCAAGTTAGCATATCGAGAAATAATGTCATCCGCCATCCTCCTAGCTAGATCAAACCAAGAGTGGTAGCAAAATTTGTAAATCGACAGCAAGACCCTAGTCGCACTAGAGAGAAAAGAGCTCTTTCTTTCGAGGGAGTTTTATAAATTGAGGGGACTATGTTATTAATCGTTCACCATTTGTAGACTACGAGTATGTTATTTTAATGTACTTTTTGAAAACTGGAAAAGTAGTAATGCATAAATATCATGTATTTATATACATGTAGTATATATAACAATGATTAAAATATTCTAAAAATATATGATAAGGAGAGAAAAGAGAAGAGAAATAATCAAAATCCAAATTACAAAGCCTTATTAAAACCTCACTTAAAGGCATCAAGATGTTTACTGAACACTTGAGTTAACTCCTGTTCATTGAAAATTTTTCCTTTAAATGATGATAAATTCCACAAAACATTGTCCTCTTTCTATAATCCTATACACTTACCAAGTCACCAACTACCAAGTACCAACCTCCAATAAAAAATGGCGGATTCCATTGACCCCAATTCCCACCCAAAACCCCTCCTTGTAATCAACCGCATACCCTCCTTCAAATCCCCACCGCCTCACACCCACCTACACCATCCTAGACTCCATCACCGCCGTCGGCACCGACCCCTCCGCCGCTCACACCTTCCTCCGCCACAACGCCGCCGCCGCGCGCGCTGTCCTCTGCATCGGACCCTCTCCATTGAGGAAAGACACCTTAGACTGTCTTCCCTCCTTAGAATTTATCGTCACTTCATGCGTTGGTATTGATCATATTGATTTGTCTGAGTGTCGTCGCCGAGGAATCTCCGTCGCTAATATTGGCGACGCTTTTTCGGATGATGTTGCTGATTGCGCTGTTGGGTTGTTGATTGATGTGCTTCGTAAGGTCTCTGCTGCTCACCGGTTTGTTCGGGCCGGGTCTTGGCCCGAACTAGAGGTGTTTCCTCTTGGGTCTAGAGTGAGTTGTCTTTTCTTTTCTTCTCACTTCAATTTTACTTGCTGATTGGAAGAAGTGGTTGTTTCTCCTACGTTCCTTTTTGTTTGTCTCATTTTCCATATTATTGTTCATTTGAGTTTGTTAATGCTATATGACACCATTGCCTATTGGCGTACACGTAACGATTTTCAAATTGGACGAATAAAAGGGTACGGAGGGAGTAGTTTATAAGCTCTTTTTACAAGATTCTTATAAAAAGCTCCATCTAGTCGAAGTCGATTATAGAGATGTACACCCGTGTAGTCGAGATAGTTGAATGAATATACATGCCAAAATCTCTACTGCTTCACAAGTTTGGACTGATGAATGCTCAAAATTCTATGCTTTTAATACCCTTTAAACTAGTTGATAAGTATTATCTTATTTTCCTGATTTTATGACATTTACTGAACTCCATTTGAGAATATATCTATGCAATGTGCTTACTTTAGTTGCAGTAATCAGATGTATGTCTATTATAGTTAGGTGGGAAGCGAGTAGGTATAGTCGGCCTTGGAAGCATTGGTTCTCGGGTTGTAAAGAGACTTATTCCACTTGGTTGCAGCATTGCATACACCTCTAGGCAGAAGAAACCCTCGGTTTCTTTTCCCTACTACGCCTATGTCTATGACTTAGCACTTGACTGTGACATTCTCATCCTGTGCTGCTCATTAACCAATCAAACCCGCCACATGATCAATGAGGATGTCTTGAATGCATTAGGAAAGGAAGGAGTAGTCATTAACATCGGCAGAGGGGACCTAATTGATGGGAAAGAACTTGTGCAGTTTCTGGTGGATGGCAGAATCAGAGGGGCTGGTCTTGATGTGTTTCAGAATGAGCCCTATGTTCCTAAAGAACTGTTTGGTTTAGATAATGTAGTTCTCTCCCCTCATCAAGCTTTCTTCACTCCGGATTCCTTCAAGGCTGCTGAAGACATTTCCGTAGCAAACTTGGAGGCCTTCTTTTCAAACAAGCCCTTAATTTCTCCTATAAGACGGGATTAGTTGCAGTCATATATTGTACATTTTGTCATGAAATTGTTGTATCAAATTGTATTAGCAGTAGTGAACAAAACCTTGATTTGACAATAAAATGTTTCAGGGATACATAATATTCTTCCTGCTTTCACATTGATCCTTTTCTTTTATCCATTTGTCAGAGACTATTTCCATCACTCTCTTGAACTCGATCCCAAATTTATAGTGACATGCTATCTTAAGATATCCAGATAATGTTAATATGTTATAACCTTTCATTATATAGTTATGGTTTATGATAAGATTTCTCAATACGGGACTAAGTCATAGAAATGACTCGCTTATTATAAAAGTTCCTTGTAATGCCCTGTCAATCCTTAGTATATGAGGGTTTATGCAAGCCTTTATGAACTAAATATGGAGGATATGGGAGTATATTTCTTAGATGTGAATGCACATGATGGTCAAGTTTTGAGAAGTAAAATATATTGCTATAATAGTTTTGTGTTTTACTCAAGTTATCGAGAAAGATATGCTACCACGAGGCAGGATAGTTGTAGAATTACAAATTACAAGTGCAAAAGAACAATACATGTATGTGCTTACTTATTGCTGCTTAAAACTATTCATGCATGCTTTCAGTCAAATAGTATCATTCGGCTTCCCTCGAGGCAGAGGATAATGCTGGGAATTGAAAATGAACACAACTCTTAACGTTTTTACCGGAGATGATGCCTGCAAGACAAGTTTGAAAAGGTTTCTAAATCTCTTTGCTGAATTTTCAGAATAAACTATTGCATAAAACAGAACATCAGAAGATCTACTCAAGAGCAACCTTAATGTTTCCTTTGTTCCACGCCAGACTTTGCAGCGAATTGTTGGGAGGCCTAATCGCTGATGAGCCCCATATCGGTGGCAACCAGAGAAACCTGTTGGTAATAAGAGGAAAATAACAAGTAGTTATAATCCTATTTGCAGAATAAAACAAGCTTGATCAACCTCCTCAATAGTAAGCACAAGTAAGGCAAAAGCACTTGTTATTGGCTTACCATAGTACACTCCATCAACCTCTAGAACATCAATCTGCAGAAGACAGAAAATATTCAGTTGTAACTAAAGTATTAAGATGATCAAAGTGATTCAAATCTTAGGCACAAAATAAGTTTAACTCCAAATTCCCTGTATTCTGTGATGCATCATACTCTGAAATTTCTTATAATCTACATTGTGATCTTAATTTCTTGCAGCACAAAATAATCATTACAAACTCCTAATACGGATGTGCCCGGAATTTGAAGTACTTACAGGAACTTGAAGACCAATCTCCTTAATGCTATCCATGAGTTCATGGACTTTTTGGGGATCATTTGCTCTTGTACGCATTAGTGGTCTCTGTATCGTATCAAGGGGGAGCTCCAAGACTACTGGCCCGACTTTCTGTGTTGTTGAAGGAGCTCCTGCAAGCAACAATCACCATTTACATCATGACACAAAACAAAGAACCAGTAAATCAAGGAAAATCAGAACATGATGAGCAAAGGTAAGTCATGTATACCATTATTAGATGAAGCAGACAGATAAAATTTTCTTAGAGTAGCTGGACCTGGAAGGTAAAGGCTTGCCATCTAGAAACACTTCACTGTCATCAAAATTAAGATATCATTAGCATACCAGAAACCTTAAAAACCCCAAACGTACACTCTCGCTTGGGTAGTCTAACTACGCTTATAAGGGTCTATTCTCATTTATTGAACTGAGTTGTACTGAGCTAAACTGAACTGAATTGTTTATGAGAGAAGGAAATTAGGAACTGAACTGAACTGAATTTAAGCTGAAAAGAACGAACCGTTAGTTTCCTATAAGCTAACCAACATAAATTACGGTATTGAAGATGATTTGTACCAGCCAAATTATTGGAGACTGGAATTACTATCACTCAGCCAAATATATAAAAAAAAAAAAAAAGAAAAAAAAAAGTTATTATGTGAACCCCAAATTTGGATGAGGTCCTACTTCAATAATTTAAAACTTGTCAATTAATCTTCAACCTTAGTTAAGCTTCAGGTAGGTTCTAATTCAAATTAAAAACAACAAATTGGTAATCAAGAATCAAACATAAGCATAGCAAATATTGGCAGAAAATTCAGTTAATATATTCTTTTCAACCTCAAATCACTACATAACATCAACATATAAATAAAAATTGAACAGATATTATTCCGTACCTTAGTATTGAATTATTGATGAAGGGTCCAAAGGAAAAGAAGGCCAATGAAACTAATGAGAAATTTGGGGGATGAATTTTGTTTTGGGTTGTATTATGTGTTGAAAGTTATGAACCAAGCTTGTTGGTTTGGTTGAATGCGATTGATCCTTGTTTTTTTTTTGTATGCACCGGCCAGCCAACACTTTCTACGTGTCATCATTGTCATGTTCATGTTTATCAACAATTGTTACTTCGTATTATTTTTGTTTCGATTTTTCCACTTAAAAAGTGTGCGGTTTTTAACACAATTTTAACTATTAATATAATTATGACTTTATGAGTACTAATTTAAAATATGTATGTATTAAATTTTGAAAATATATTTGATATTTTAATGGATACTATTAAATCATACCGAACACCTACCTAACAAGATTTTTAATGATGATAACAAGTTTTAATCAAGATTTAATTTGGGATTGATCAACCTATATAGGATTATACAATTTTCTTATTAGTTTAAATGACTCTAGGTAGAGCTTAGACTTGAAATTTAGATTAAAGTAAATTTGAATTTTTAACCCATAAAAGTGAAATTTCAATCTATGAACCTCATCAATCTTAAGAGTTATGCACAAAAACAATTTTGTGAAAAAACACTTCATTTATAAATAATAGGAGGGTAATAGTAATACTATGATCAAGGATTGAACAAAAGTTTGTTTTCAATGATTATTTAAGTACATTCAATGTTTGTTTGGTTCACATGAGTATCAACTTCCTATCATGCTAAATCCCATGGGAAGTTTTAGTCCATGAATTGTTAGTTCCCTTGCATTGTGAACCTAGGAAATAACTTTGTTTGGTTAACATTTAGGCATTTTAATTTTATGACAATTGTAACTTAGTGTACTAAAGGATGGTAATTGATATTCATGGTAGGTAACAACCTAACAGGTAAACCAATTCCCATGTCCTATACGAATTTCAATTTCCTAGAAAGTTAGACTCCCCTTGTATTATTTTAACTATTTCATGTCAACCAAACAAATCGTCACATATACACATCCTAGAAATCATGACTGAAACTCATACTTAGGGCTTATTCTCATACGTTTATTTTCAGTTTATTTCAGCTCAGCTCAGTTCAGTTCAGCTCCTAATTTCCTTCTCTTATAAAATATTCATTTCAGTTCAGTTCAACTCAGTTCAGTTCAGTTTAGTCAATGAGAACAGACCCTTAACGTACGTTTGTTGGTAATAAAACAAGCACTAAGGAGCGTTTTTAAGCTTTCTTACACTTAATATATATGAGACAACTTTAAAATAAAAACACTTGAAGATTAACAATTGTCAAGAGCTGCCAATCTACCCACTCTCATAGTCTCATATGAGTCATATCCATGAATGTTAGAGGAGGAACTACCCCCCCCCCCCCCACCCCATGCATGCTTTATTCTTCGCCAACTACCTTTCCTATTAATATTCCTTTGCATTGTTAGTCATGAATGGTAAACACATACACTCAATCACGTGATTAGCTATATATCTTTCACATTTTTTAAAAATCACAACTACTTACCTTTGGAATCTAAGGGTCCAATCTAAACGCACATTCCCTTCATAATATGCTAGTGTATTTTCAACTCATCACAACCTAATATTATCTTTAATGTCATATTTCTTCTTATAAAAACACTATAACACGTCTCACAAAATATATTACAAACATATTATTCATCTTTACATACAATCCGCTTCCAAATCTTGTTTTAATTAGAGTAATGACGGCCACAATTGCTCCATCTAGGGTTGAAAGCCTAGCAAGTAGTGGCATTGAGTCCATCCCTAAGGAGTACGTGAGGCTTAACGAGGAGTTAACCTCAATGGGTAACGTTTTCGAGGAGGAAAAGAAAGAAGAGGGGTCTCAAGTACCAACAATAGACATTAAGGACATCGCGTCTGAAGATCCAGAGGTACGAGGCAAGGCAATCCAAGAGCTCAAAAGGGCTGCCATGGAATGGGGTGTAATGCACCTTGTCAATCATGGCATCTCTGATGAGCTAATTGACCGGGTTAAGGTGGCCGGACAGACATTTTTCGAGCTTCCGGTTGAAGAGAAGGAGAAATATGCAAATGATCAAGCATCAGGGAATGTACAAGGGTATGGAAGTAAGCTAGCAAATAGTGCTAGTGGGAGACTTGAGTGGGAGGACTACTATTTTCACCTTAGTTACCCTGAGGATAAAAGAGACTTGTCTATTTGGCCAGAGACTCCTGCTGACTACATGTAAGTTATAATAACTCTTACATTTATGCAAATTTACTTTGATGATTTGGTTTCTAATTTTAAAATGCTATATGATGAAATTGTGATATGGTGCCGGTACATCACATGTAATTTTAGTGTGTGTATTGAAACTGGGTTCGGGTAATCCTCTAGACTTAATTAATAAGTGGTGTATGTAAACAATACGATTACATCTACAGCTGTTACTTTGTAAAATTGTAACTATAAATAGATCAATTATCATTGACAAATTTGATCAAGTACACTTAGCCTTTTAGTTTCAATCTATCTTATCCTAATATAATATACTTGTACTTGTACTTTGTATAAATTAAATACAAAGTATCTAGTAATCTATTAAATGAACACATTTTACATAGTTCAAATTAAAATGTTGGTCGGGTATGTTTATTTACAACTTTATTATAGTCCATTTTGCGGAGCTTTACTTTCCAAGTCGTATATATATAGTTACATTTTTTTAAAAAAAAAGAAGAATTTTTGCTAACTTTCTCATCATATTATTGATACAGTCCTGCGGTATCAGAGTATTCCAAAGAACTAAGATACTTAGCAACTAAGATCCTCTCGGCATTGTCACTTGCATTAGGGTTGGAAGAGGGGAGGCTAGAGAAGGAAGTAGGAGGCTTAGAAGAGCTCCTCCTACAATTCAAGATCAACTACTACCCAAAATGCCCTCAACCAGAGCTAGCCCTAGGAGTTGAGGCTCACACCGATGTAAGTGCCCTAACTTTCATCCTCCACAACATGGTTCCTGGCCTTCAGCTCTTCTATGAGGGCAAATGGGTCACAGCAAAATGTGTCCCTAACTCTATCATCATGCACATTGGTGACACTATTGAGATCCTTAGCAATGGAAAGTACAAAAGTATCCTTCATAGAGGACTAGTTAATAAGGAGAAGGTGAGGATTTCTTGGGCAGTTTTCTGTGAACCACCTAAGGAGAAGATCATCCTTAAGCCCTTGCCTGACCTTGTGAGCGACGAGGAGCCTGCTCGTTATCCACCTCGAACCTTTGCCCAACATGTTCAATACAAGCTCTTCAGGAAGACTCAAGGTCCACAAACAACAATCACAAAAAATTAAGTACATCATTGTATGAGAAGAAATCTAATTAAGGATGTCTTTCACACTCTTTGTGATGGATGTTTTTAATTGATTAATTATTATTTCTATCCTAAGCATGTATCCCATGATTATGCCTATGAAGTTATAGTTGTATTTGATAAACTTCTTGTGATAATGTGTGACTTAATCATGCATAATCATTTACATACACTACTTTTATATATCCACAGTATCTGTAGTAGTTAATAAATGTGATTTCTAAAAATTGAGTCTTTATTTCATAGGTCAAAAGTAATACAATGCACCAAAAACAAGAGATTGAGAAAGTGGTATTTGCTTACATTCGGCCAACGATATTATATCTTGTACATGTACAATGAGATGTGTTATATTTACCAAAGTAATTTTCATTGTTATGATTTTATCTAGTACATGTACAATGAGATGTGTTAGGTTTACCAAAACTAAACTTGGGTGCAATGTTTTGTGTATGAAGTTATTTGTAGACTAAATTTATCAAAATTGAGACCCTTAAATTTTGAAGTCTTGTACTTGACCACCTTAACACTACAAACTTCCTCTGTTTTTTTATTAATTGATAATTTTTTTTTTAACAATGACATTATTCACAAAGCTACTTGGACTTCGATCTTTATGTGATTTACATATGAGTTATTGAAGGTTGCTAAATTAATCTCAAATCTATAAATTCTATATATCAACTTTTTATACTTTGTAAATTTTATCTATTGATGTTCAAAATCATGCATTTACAAAATTGCTAAATAAATGGATCAACCGAAATGAAACAAGGAAGTATACTCTAAGTGACTCCCTTGCCACTTCCCAACAAAGTACTTTAATACACTATATATCTATTTTCGCTATCTCCATATGTACCTAAATATAAATGGACATTCATGTAAAGATGGCACTAAATCGGGCCCGTCTAAGCACGAAATAGGATGGCACAACATGATGCCACCACAACTTGAATTGTAAGCCTCCTTTATTTGAGAAAAGCATGATAAGACACAACATGCCTAAGGGTGTAAATGAACCAAGCCGATCAATAAACTACTCGGGTACAAGTTCGGTACGGTTGAAGCTCGTTCATGTTCGTTTATTTAATAAATGAGCCGAGTTTGAACAAATTTTGAAACTCGTTTAATAAATGAGCTTGGACACGAACATAGATATGCTCGTTCAAATATGTTCCTGAACAACTTGTTTATTTATTTTCACGAACTCGTTTAATAAATGGTTTTTTTTTTTTTGGTGAAAGATAAATGGTTTATTTATGTTCATGAATTATTGATTTATTCAAAAGTACGAAGCTCGTTTATTATAAAAGCTCGTTTATTATTAAGCGCATTCATGAATTACTCATTTATCAACTCTTTTAATAAATGAGTTGTTCATGAACATACATTATTCTAAATGAGCCAAGCTTGAAGAGATTTTTGAGCTCGCTTAAAAGTTAGGGATCGTGCTCGGACTCGCCTAAGTTAAATGAACTGAACATGAACAAGGTAGTGCTCGGCTCGGCTCGGCTCGGCTCATTTACACCCCTAAACATGCCCTGTCTTGACATAACAAACTTTGGCTTAGGCCTGCTAGCATGACACAATGGCATGTGGATTTGGCCTGGGCAGGATACGAACTGCCGCCCTTTTGAAGTTGGCACAACATATAGCTCGCTAAGCCTAGCTAAACCCATAGACGTGGGCCCAAACGAGACACAGGTCACAACCATAATTATGTTATTCATGTGGTCTGAATAGTAAATTGTATACTCCTCCCGATTCATATTGTTCTTCCTATTCTGTCTAATTTTGTCTCACAAAAAATTCCAAATTGGAAGAACAATATGAAATGGAGGGAAAAAAAAATAATTAAAAGATAATCTTGTACAATTAAGCCCACCTCAATGCAACCACGTGGCAACAATACTCCAACCACTTGTCAACCTAAGACAAGTCGACGAACCCATAACGACGAGCCAATAGAAAACAATCCACCTGGCCAACTCAATGACATGGCAGATTAACTACCAAAATCAAAAAACAACACCAACAAGAATTCCAACAAATAGAGATCTTTTTCGAAACCCTCTTTCATTTCCCTCCACACAATCAACCATTTGCCTTATCTCCAAACCCAAACCAAAATGCCCAGAAAACTCCTTTACCATTATTCCTTTCAACTACAACATTATGCTCTTTTCTTTGAGCTCAAAAAATAATAATTAAAGGGTAAAAAAAATAAAACACAATTAGCATCTTAAGCTAAAAAAATGGCTTCCAAACTAGGTGTAGCAGCTTTAACTTCACCTAGGATATTTACTGCTCCAACTCCAAAACGCGCAGTTACAATCTTCTCTGCTTCTTCTTCATTCAAGGATGCTTCTGCTCAGTTCATGGGTGTTCGCCGTCTTGCGGTTCGACGTAGATTCTTATTGCTTACCCCCAACGCTGCTACTGATAAGCAAGGTTTTGCCCAAATGACATCCTTACATATTTTCTTTCTTGTTTAAATATTGATTGTTATTCTATTTTTCAAAAAAAATATTGTTATTCTAATTTTCTAATTTTATGTTATAGTATTAAATATTGATCTAACCATCATAGTTAGTGTTAAGATATATTAGTTGTTAATATATCTTTGACTTTGTATATATTAGTTTCCTAGTTTGTAGCTGTGAATATTTTGATGTATATCTCTTAGCTTAATTAGTGGCTTGATTAGAGCATGTAATTTGTATATATTCATAGTCAATGGAATGCAATTCTCACGGAAAAGATGTTAGTTTAGGTTGTTTTTTTAGACAATTAACAATAGTTTATATATATTTGGTCATAACATTATTAATATATATAGGTTTGATCATTCAAACATATACCGAGGTTATATAATGATGATTTAGATTATGCAAATACATATGTACTCTGTATATAGTATTAGTGGTGCTCTTATAGTTTAGGACTTGGCCTCTTGATCATGATCGCGACATTAGTGATGTGGGTACATAAGGAGTGTAATGTATTTTTGAGCTCAATGTAGTCCTCACTCTCATCAATTCAAATTAAATTCTTCAATTAGTAATTTTATTCTCCAAATTTAAAGGTATAATTTGATTCCCTGAAAAACATGTTTTTTCTGTGTTTTTTAAGTTGTTCTGATGTGAAAATGAGAACTGAAAGTCGAGTTATTGTAATTTACAGGTCAAACTGAAGCAGAAGACGAAATGGTAGACAGTAATATGTTGCAGTACTGCAGTCTTGACCAGAAGAAGGGAAAGAAATCAATAGGGGAGATGGAACAGGAATTCTTACAAGCGCTGCAAGTATGCATACATTAACTTTCTTTGTTTTCGCTGCATCTTTAGTAGTCAGAACAAAACATTTGAGTTCAGACATTATAACACGAACTCTTTTTCTGTATCAGTCATTCTACTATGAGGGAAAGGCTGTCATGTCAAACGAGGAATTTGACAATCTCAAGGAAGAGTTAATGTGGGAAGGAAGCAGCGTAGTAATGCTAAGTTAGTTTCAATGATACATTGTCAAAACATCTGAAGTTATTCAGTTGTTTCCTGACTTATAATCATGATGCTAATAGGCTTAACTTGCTTCATTTTCTTGACTAATTCATCAAACAGGTCCTGATGAGCAGAGGTTTTTAGAAGCTTCCATGGCATATGTCGCTGGAAATCCAATTTTGTCTGATAAAGAGTTTGATGAACTAAAGCTGAAACTTAAGGTCAGTATCTACAAATACTCAATATTATGATTGCTTGAAATAGATTTCTTTCTTGTCAACTGTCTTGTCTGTTTGAAGTACTTTTCTTTACTCGTTTTATCTTCTGACCTGTTGTCAATTGTGCTTGACTTGTTAATGCCCTCACTTTTTTTTTCAGACGGAAGGTAGTATGATCGTTGTGGAGGGTCCTCGATGCAGTCTTAGGAGTAGAAAGGTTGGCAATTTTCCATTAGCCTCTTAATGCTCCTATAGCAGTGGTGTTGATGCATGTATTGCTTTCTTGATTATTAACATGCTAATGTGTTAAAAAAAAATTCAATATTTGCAAGATAAGTAGCTGACATTGTTCATATGTATCTTTCATATTTTCTTTCAATGTCCTAGAGTCCATGACTCCATGAGGATTTATTTCTTTCTAACAAGCTCTCATTTGACAGGTTTACAGTGATCTCACTGTCGACTACTTCAAAATGTTCCTGTTGAACGTTCCAGCTGCTGTCGTTGCCCTTGGACTGTGAGTATCATGTTGATTTTCTGAAATCTGTTTACTGCACTCTCTCCCTTTCCTGTCAACATATCAGCCTAAGTTATTCAAACTCAAGCACCCATGTCAGGCATGCCATTTGTCCACATATAAATACCAGACTGTCATAATAATATTTTCAATTGTTGATCCAAAAGAAGTGTTAGGTGTCAAGTCTATACCTAAGTTGGAGTGTCGAGGATCTGACACAGGTCCTTGAGATGAATTGATGAGTCTGAGTAACATAATTAACTTGTTTATATCTGTCACTAGAAGAATTACATATGATCAATTCTGAAGTGTAAAAAATGGCTCAACACTTGAACAGGTTTTTCTTCCTGGATGATTTGACTGGATTTGAGATCACACTCCTGTTGGAGGTAATAACCTCACTTCCTGTTGCAAGAATCTCAGAGTTGTCTATCGAAATTCCTTCCTATCTATTCATCAGTAGCTTCGACAATTTGATCATTCTGTTCTGTGTCAATGCAGCTTCCAGAGCCTTTCAGTTTCATTTTCACATGGTTTGCTGCTCTGCCTGCAATACTGTGGTTATCTCAGGCCATTACAAAGCTTATTGTTCGAGATTTCCTCATTTTGAAGGTAATGTTCCACAAATCTAAATCATACTAGTCTGATTTTTGTGTGCCAAATTATTGTGTTTAACACTGTTGCCGTCTGCTAGGGTACTTGTCCTAACTGTGGTACAGAGAACCTCTCCTTTTTTGGGACTATTCTTTCGGTTTCCAGTGGTGGTGCCACCAACAAAGTGAAATGCTCAAAGTAAGAAAAAAATATACTGCTAAAATCTTGTATTCTTTCCTGTATAATAATCACTATGAAACATCTTCTGCAGCTGTAGCACGGAATTAGAATTCGATTCAAAAATGCGTCTATTGACAATACCAGAAGGAAGCCAAGCTTAAGGAGAAGGTATACACATTAAAACTGCCTGCAAAGTGCAATCTCCTGATATAACTCTGCTGAAGTTAATGAGTTGCTCACCTGTTTGGCTAGTTACACTAATGTGTTAAATTTTTAAAAGAAAAGCTATTGACATGAATGAACCCATGTTTGTCATGATCCTTATATTAGTTTTATGAAAACTGCAAATTGAAACAGTTTGAATATTTTTAAATAGTTATTTTTCTCAGTAATATACTATTTCCTCCATTCTATTTGTTGGTTAAGTTTAGAAATTTTTTATGAGAAGATAAATGATCAAAGCGTAATCAATAAAAAGGAACGGAGGGAATATACATTAGACCCCTAATAGATTGGAAAATATTAAAAAGCACTTAAATCTTTTTCAAAAATATACCTCTAAAACTTAGGAATATTCAAATATATAAAATGAGTAAAATTTCTTATTATTCATGCCAAACTAGATGATCTTAATAAAATCATAATCATTTGAAGATGGTTGCTTTTTGCAGACTTTGTGCAAGCTATTGAAGTGTATGTTCAGCCGAAAATGCAAATGTGTGGAACTTGTGTTATACCAGAGGAATATGTATTTCTTTGAAGATTTAGATGGTTAAGATCAACAGGCTCTTCTGAACTGCTTGTCGCAAATTTGTAGGGTGTAATAGTTCACAAATAAATTTCGGTAACCTATGTATATTCCAGTAAACTTCCTGCATACTAGAGGCAGAGTAAAAGTGAATATTCTCTGTATGTAATTCTTATACAGGCTCTTGAACCATTGGATTCCAGTGAAACAAACAACTCAATTATATGTTCATGTAAATGTCCTCTGATATTGTACACGATTGATGGCACAAGCCAAGGCAGAATGATAAGAAATTAAGCAAATGGATACAGTTAGAAACTAATTGAGGCGTTTGCTATTATCAGCAACTTCATTTAGGCATCTTTTGAATGCTATAAAAACAATTGATAAGAGTTTGACACTACTGTTCATACTAATATTAAAATTTGAATACAAGAAGAAAACTTAAGCAATGATTGATGTAATGCTGTTATGCCAATTTTCGGGCATCACAAACCACCTCAACCATGCGTAAATAACTAGTTGTACACTGGTTGAGAACATCTATGCCTCAGTAACATTGCATCTGCAGCCATCAGATGCAGCCATCCCTGATCTACTCGATTGATACATCCAAGTAATCTCCAATCTACAAAATATAATAAACAATCAACATATATTCCGAGGAGAAGACAACTATAAAGAAACAATTGAGGCTTTTGATCCATTAGAGACATAGGATATGTAATGCCAAAGTAAGATTTAAGCCAAGGCTTTGTTGTAATCATAATCAAATGATACCTGGAAGTATATTTCAGCCAAGGCTTTGTTGTCATCTAAGCGTCTCTTATTTCCATTCGAGAAGGTTTCACCCACCTAAACAATGTTGAAATATGCTGTTAAACTTGATCAAACTCAAAGAGTATGTTCATATTTTACTGACATGTCAAATTTCCACAAGGACGAAGAAAAATCCTAGCACCTTAATTTAATTAACTTACTTTTATTATAGTTACACACACACATTGTAAACAGGAACTGATGTCCCACTTTATATAGACAAATCTATAAGGACAAGTGAGAAGTCTGAAAGCATTGAGAGACTAGTTATAGACAATCTAGAGGATGCAAAATATACCTTTTTTACTTGCATACGCCCATTTTTATCAGGATATACAACTGCAAATGACAATTTTGCATCTCGTCTTCGGGCAGCTGGAGAAACTTCCTTCACCTGAAGGTTATAACAATCAATATCACACATGAAACCTATAAATGAGGGAAGGTAAAAGATAATATGACTAATACGAAGTGTTAAACAAATGTTGGCAAACATACAAGATCAGTCAACTCTCGAAGCGTAGCATCCATCCAAGTATATATTTGAACCTCATCCTTGGGTTCCTTACCTCTCACTGAAAAATCTTCTTGGGTATGGTGACCTCCAATCTATAAGAACAGAAATCAATTTTAAATTCAGCTTGATTGCCAAATAAATCAGTTCAACAAACCAGGAAATGCATACTAGAGCACAGCAGTATATTTTAGCAATATCATTAACATCAGCTCATCAATATCATATGGTCTCATGGAGAAGGAAGATTTTTGGAGAGACAGACTGACAGGAATATGATGCAACAACTATTCATTTGCAGCACTGCAAGCATATGATATCATTTACTCTTCCATAGAGAATTCAATCATTCCTGTACCAGCTTCATTTTAAAACATTACAACTGACAACATGAAGGTCATTGATATATGACATGCGTGTCCCAGATTTCTTTTTACAACAAGGACAAGACACATCTTTAGAAATACAGTACTTCTTAGAAGTCCAGTACTTCAATAAGATGTACTAAAATGATAGGATTAGCAGTCACTAAAATCTAATACCCAGCAGATAAGTAATTGTCTAGATTCATATAGCATTTCCACCCATGAGTAAGACACTTCTTTCAATTTCTCTATAAGTTAATAATCCAATGAAATTTTCATTCCAACACTCAAAAGTTTATAGACTATATATTCTAAACTACTCGTGTATCTCAAATTTGAGCATGAGACAGCACTTTTAAAATGTCATCAAACAGTCTATTAGGTAAACATCTAACTAAAAAAAACAATTAATAACAAATCAGAGTATTCACTTTATTGAAAGTTTCAGGGTTTAGCAGTTTCACAAATATATGAAATCCCTAACTCCGTGCAACATTGTATCAAGAAAATAGTGTTCTATAATAAGAATGCATAATGATAAACAAAATGTAAACAGAAATAGATAGCTGACATAATCCAGGATCATTGCAAACTACAGACTAAAGGATGATCACTAACCTTAGTGAAAACCCGAAGCAACAATGGACAAGTCTGCATTTCAAAAGAACAGAAAGTCAGTTTAGTTGCTCTTCGAAATCACATGAAAAAGCAAAAGCATACAACAAAATCATACTAAATTTAGGGTTACATTTCAAATTTCAACACAAAATCCTGGAGAGAGAGAAATTAAATAAAGCACAGCCGAAAGGTTATATTGATTTGCACTCCAAATCTTCCACGAAAGGCATACCATAATTAAGGAAGCCCAACATAAACAAAACTTGATAATTTTAAAGTAGGACTATGATAGAACGTGAAGGATAAAGTAAATAGCTATTAGCAGTTTCCACAACTTTTACTATGTCATACATACATATCACAGATCAACAGAGTGAGAAAGATTTGAGATATACAGATTTCGACTCTTAAATCTCACTGGTTCAAGTACAGTGCAGCAGGAACAGAATTCTAATTGAATCATATCTGTCAATATTAATAAATTGCACTTCCATTGATACACTTGTCAACTCTTACACATCAAATGACTAATCACACTAATTGCCATGTTTACAATGTGCTATGCTATGGCTAAATTAGCATAAAAAAACGCAATGCTATGACTATAGTTCCTCAAGAGCCTCTAATCCTCAACATAATAGATAAGAAGAATATATGAATTGTCCAAAATATTTCGGAAAAGCTTCTTTCCAATTTTTATTAAAGGGGAAAGGCTCCTCAACAAGTCAACAGGCTATAAGAAAAGCTTGCATTCCCATATTTCTGAATCCAATATGCCTAAAATATAATAAAACCATCCCCAATTTTGATGGCACCACCACATGATGACACTTACGAACATACCCATAATTAAAGGTAAAAAAGACTATCGAACTCCTATCCCCTCAGCAAAATTAAATCACGATAATTGACAGCCACAGAATTATCTCAAATATGTGAACCCCATCCAAGTATGTAAGTATATTAGGCATAATTTCAAACACTAAGGCAAGAAAGGCTGCCTTAATTCCTTCATTCTTTCATTCTCTAAGTTAATGATACCTAGAAACTCGCAAACTCAATCAATTCACTGCAACTTTATGCTCAACTAGTCAACTAATACCCAATATTCCAGTAGGGTGTTTGGTATATAGGGGGTAAGAAGATGCCACTTTCACTCAAACGCAAACAAATAATGCCTTCAGCTACCTAATAGGCAGAGAATATAACGATTACACACTTCCTTATGAATTCAATCAAGCTAATTGAATCCTGAGTGATTCTACTATAGTAAAGCATAAAATTTTAGGACTTTTACCATAGAATTGAGCCCAAAGCTCAAAATAATGAACAATTCTCTAATAAAATCACCTTAACTCAATACCAAATTACAATAATTAACCCAATTAAGCGTAAAGAATCTCAATTAAAACCAGACCCTGAATTTGGGGACGAACAAACAGAAAACCCTACTCTAAACCCTAAACCCTAAATTCCAAATTTCCAAATCAAGAACAATTAAAATCAAATTGGGGCCAATAAAAGTTGAGAAATAATCTGAGAATTAGCAGAAAAAAGAAGAGATGACGAGGAAGGACCTTTTCACGGTCGACGGGCTGGAAACGGGCGCGCTGAGGAGGGAGCCCAGGAAAGCCTCGAGAAGGGAGAGGGGGAGGCGGTGGAAGAGGGCGGCCGGAGTTTCTAGGAGGTAGGTCACCGGCGCCTCCGGTAACTCTTTCTCTCTCCTCTCTGCTTCTTTTTCTCTCCATTGCTACTTCTGTGCGCGATACGGAGAAGGGAAAACTATGACTGTGGGTGAGTCGTTCGTGTTGTGAATTGGGTTGGATTTATTTAGCTTACTAGGGTGGTTAATGCCCGCGAGGCTGAGGCATACTACAGCCATAGCTAACCATGTTCGTTATTTAATTGACGTATATAGTGGCGGAGACAGGATTTTAATAATAGTAGGACACTGGATATCGGAAAATCTTCTTATCAAGACTCCAAAACCCGTCTCCTTAGAATTTTCAATTAAAAACAATCTAGATACAATTATGCAGTAATATAATCGTGAAGGGATGTTCTTAATATCAAGATTAAAATTTATTTAACAATCGTATTTGTCAAACCTCAATTATAGAGTAACCAAATCCATCACATGTTACCTCCACCTATGTAAGTTTGTAAGAAATGACCCATATAATAATAATAATAATAATAATAATAATAATAATAATAATAATAATAATTCTTGCTTCAAAAAAATAAATAATAAAAACAATACTTCCAATGGGTCAAAATCGTTAAACACTCTTCATATCAAATAGCCTGATACAAAATACTAACTAAAACTAATGATTTGAGTGTGCATATGTTAAAAGAAATATATATATAAAAAAAAAATTACTATTTCATTAATCTTAATTGGAAAAGTAATCTTGCTCAAATATTAATTTGTATTTTTGTATCAAGTAAATAGAACATTAAGCACAAAAATTTTATAATAAAATAAAGGATGTTGGGTAAGGGAGTAGAATCCATGACCTATTGACCTTTGATAGAAAAATTAGTGTTCTAACCACTAGGATGTTGGTAACTATATATAGTTTTACCCTTCATATTCTACTTAGTATTTAACTAATTTAAAAAAGCTCACTTAAACAACTCTTTTTTTTGCTTTTGGTAGGGCACGTCCCTACCAGGACCCTAGCCAGCTCCGCCCCTGCTTGTATGTCACAAGCAGTATTAATTAGAGCTGGCAAAAACTCATGTCATGTCATGTTCATATTTGGTCCCGAATCAATTTTGTGTTGTTCACAAAACCTATTAAAAAACTATGTAAAATATACAATAATTGCATAATTTGACCATTTTATCTAAATGAGTCGTGTTCGGACTGGTTTCGTGTCGTGTCGACTTTGTGTTTTCTCTAAATAAATTTGTGTTCGTGTCGAGCCAGTTTTGACCGTATTGTTATGTCGTGTCAAAATTTGTCAGTTGTTTGATGAATAAACTATATCATAAACTTTTGTAGGGTATAAATGTATACAAACTGTTTTTAAGAGTTATGAAAATGAGGTACTTAACATTAACATTTATGAGGACAATTAAGTAAATTTTTGCAATGTAAATTTTTTTGAAGTCTTTTTAGAATCCTAGGGCAACCATGTATTCATGTACAGTTCTGCAATGTATTTGCATGTAGTAATCATAGACGTGCGTTATGCATCATATTATTATCATACTTGTTTAGTTTTTAGGTCATATGTTTATGACACTTATTTGTTTCTACTAAAAATTACTCCTTTTGTCCTAAAATGAATCTTAATTGTTTCTACTAAAAAAACAATAGTTTATGAGATTTATTCAATATGTAGCAATGTAGTTTATATTATCATTTTTTTTTGAAGGAAGTTTATATTATCAATTTGGTAATACATAATAAAAAAATATTGATGGTTAAAAACTGTACAAAGTTAAAATGGTTTTTTTTGTTTTTTTTTGTTTTTTTTTTGTAAGACAGGGAATATTTGAATAAGTTAAAGAGAACAAAAACCTCTATATTAACATTGATAAGCTTAAGGGTCTGTTCTGATTTATTGAGCTGAGCTGAATTGAATTGAATTGATTGGAGTTGAACTGAACTGAACCGCACTGTTTATGAGAGTAGTAAATTAGTAATTGAACTGATTGGAGCTGAATTGAACTGAACTGAAATTAAGCTGAAGAGAACAGGCCCCGAGTCAATGTGGCGTTGCTTATTTTGACACACCAAAACATGATGACGACATACATAAATTGCATGATACATGCTATATAGTCCAATTCTAATCAAGCGTGTGGGTTGGCTCGAAATGGTCTAGTACATAAGTGTAAACTCAGATGTTTTTAATCTATTAAAAGTCCAAACAGGATATTTGACTAGGAGATGGTGATAGGCTACGTGACTAATAAAAAAAGTGGTTAAACCTTAATTATAGTATAGTAGTTAAGTACGTTCTGCTTGTTCCACATATTCTTAACAACAATCAAATAAATATATGAATCTACATACTATATCCATTCATTCTAAATAAAATAAGATCAAATAATCAAATGACTTATTAGATAAATACATAATTAAAAGTATAGTATAACTTGTTAGCACGTTGTTGATCCTTTGATCTTCCATCAGCAAAAACATTGAACATTTGTTTATGGACCGTATTAGATTTAATTTTGTGCATGCATATTCAATTATTCTGCCTTACAACTATTCGTGGGAGTCACTAAGTTTTAGTTACGTATGTACATTCCTATTTGTTTTGGCACACTATATAAACCATGTATATTTGTTATCTAAATCATCCAAAACTCGAACATCACTCAATCTTTCAAAAGTTATCTAGTAAGCAGATTTTGTAATCCAAAGTGCAACAATTTATCTTTCAAAATTATGGCTTCTATTTTGCAAAATTCAAGGCGATTTAGTCTGTTATTTTATGTAGTGGTAGTATTAGGAATGGTGAGATTGTCAAATGGATATGCTACTCATTTCACGCCAAGCAAATGGAAATACGCTCATGCAACTTTTTATGGAGATGATAGTGCCTCTGAAACCATGGGTAAATTACTAAAATTTTATTGTTTTTCCTTATTAATATAACATTTCATACGATAGCACATAACCCAATTTCTATATGCTAGTGGCATTGTGTATGTAATATAATATTAACTTTATATCACATAGGAATGGTTCATTTTCTGTCTTGAAGATAATATTTTACTTTTTATGTTGTCATGTAACTTTGCACTCATATGTATGCACTAAATAGGTGTGTATGAGCTCATTTTTTTGTGTGTAAAAAATACAACTAATAATCTAATATGCATAATTGAGCCTTATGCGTGCCTCTCTTTATACACACCCTAAGCTAGCTAGTTAACTAATAAATCGTTTATTATTAGAATGTATGAAATATTATATTGATTTTCCCCCCTATTTACAGGAGGAGCATGTGGATATGGAAATTTGTTTAACAATGGGTATGGTACAAATACAGCTGCATTAAGCACAGTATTGTTCAACAACGGATATGGTTGTGGTAGTTGCTACCAAATTATGTGTGTTGGATCAAAATGGTGCAATAGGGGTCGTGGGCACGGCCCGACTTCCATTACTATCACGGCCACAAATCTATGCCCTCCAAACTGGGCTCAAGATAGCAACGCCGGTGGCTGGTGTAACCCTCCTAGAGCCCATTTTGACCTCTCCATGCCCGCCTTCAAGAAACTTGCCTTTTGGAAGGCTGGCATCGTTCCAGTCCAATACCGGAGGTAATAAACTATCCATCTACAAGCTCAATAGTACTCTTTTTTTGTGTATAAAGATAACAAAATTTTAATTTATAATGGTCTTTTAAGGCTTTTTTTATACAACTGCAAGTCTGGGTTAAGTCGATAATTTGGTCAAAACTTATTACTAATCAGTAAAAATAAAATTTAATTATTTTTATATTCATTGGTGACCAAGCAGGGTTCCATGCGCGAAAAAGGGAGGGATAAGATTTAGCTTCCAAGGGAACAACTATTGGTTGCTAACAACGGTAATGAACGTTGGTGGTGCCGGTGACATAGCCAAAATGTGGGTGAAAGGATCTAGAACCGGATGGATTAGCATGAGCCACAATTGGGGAGCATCATACCAAGCTTTTGGTCAATTAGGAGGCCAATGTCTTTCTTTCAAAATCCAATCTTACTCCACCCGTGAGACAATTGTTGCTTACAATGTTGTCCCACCTTATTGGAGTGTAGGCATGACTTACCAAGCTAAAGTCAACTTCCGATGATACAATTATCACCCTTGATTTTCTATGTTTATTTTTATTTTTCCTATTGTTGGTCAATGTTGTAGCAACATCGCCTATTTAGATGCAATGCCAATTGACCCTTGAATAGGATCTCTTTGTATGATTATGTTTAGTTCCTTCGTTTGAAATCTTGTATCTTTAGTGTAGCCGATTGTGGAAATGAGTGGCTCCGAGATACAAAAGATAATGCAAAATTCACCAAATTTAAAGTTTTATAGTACGTCTTTGATTATCGGATAATTTGTAAATTGCAGCCATTTAAAGTTCATATTTTGCAAATTGCAGCCATTTAATTTGAAAATATGAACTTTAAATGGTTGCAATTTGCAAATTTTCCTTGATTATCTCCAAATTTTCTTTATTGTATTTGTCTTTATACGTGTTTTTTTGAAGTTGGTAAAATATTTATTATTCTTTTGATTAAGCCAAGTTAAATACAATATAATGACACTATATATGTCTTTTTTCCCCAAACAGATCTCCTATATAATCTTATGTATTCAAAGATCTTCCATCCTTGCCTATCACATCCCATCTTTCTCTCCCACCCCACCCTTCCTCACCATCCTAGTGCACTTTAAAGATGCATCCCTCATTATCCTTGCTTCAAACTCAATTTTGACTGTACATACTTTTTTCGATCATAAAATATCTTCCCATTTTAACTATGGACGTATGTGAATACTTTACTTTGATCATAAATATCTATATTTTCATATTAGTAAATAATGTAGCCATTATATATTAATAAACTCTTTATTGAGACGAATCAAGTAAGACTCGACATGAATATGTTATATATAACATATTGAGTGTAATTAATTTAGAAAATTATCTCAACTTTAAAATATTGTCAAGATATGTGAAAAACAAAAAGGATTGAAGGATGTACTATTGCATTGGGATTTATCATTAGATAATTCAACTACTGTATTAGCTAATTAAAGAGGATTAACTTTAACTACAAAGCTAATAAGGATTGCTTGTAGTATATGTCTTAGAAGAAATCAAATGGAATTATAAGAGATGGAGCTAACTCTGTTTCATAATCATATTAACATCATACTTTTCACGCTTGTCAATGTAAATTTTTAAGCTTTAATATCTTTAACTAATTGTACGTTTATAAAAATATATATATAAAGAATACTATATTGATACAACCTAGCAATACCACAATTTTTTTTAACAAATATTGATTCATAAATTAAAAGTCATACGACATATACAAAGATATTTTTATCAAACAAATACATGACAATTGAATCAAATAAAAATATTCGTTCAGCAAAGCTATGATCGTTGTTGCAAATCGTACATTCTTTATACCCTCTTCCACATCGTTGTGAATTACAGTCTTCTTCAATGAAGGGGTCTATATATCGATATGTTGTAGCCATGAAGAAAATGTTCGCCTGATTCATCTAATTGTAATCAAAAGATAAACCTCTTTTTCGATCGCGCACATATATGTACCCATAAAACAACTTTACAGCAATCCATCAAACAAAAAGGCAAATCCTTCCTCAAAAGAGAGAAGATTTATTATAAACTTAGAACAACCAAAAACAAAGAGAAAAGGCAAACAATAAACAACGATTGGGGTTTTCCATTGATAAAAACCGATGAAAGTCCCTCCAAAATTCAACAATGAAGGATATGGTTTTTGGAGATCGAGAAGAGAGAGGCTGGGGTTAGCAATACCACATATAATTATATTTCTCTTTACCTATAAAATGATCACAAACAATGTTCAACAAGCTAAGGAGTGTCAGAATATTAAATATTATACAATTTTTTGTATGTGGCTGGCCACATGGTGCGGCAAGGGTTACTTGTACGGTGTTACTGATTTTTTCAGGGGTTACTTGTAGGTGTTACTTGTATTTTGGGGTTATTTGTATGGGTGTTACTGGTTTTGGTCGGGGTTACTTGTAGGGTGTTATTGGTTTTGTCAGGGGTTACTTGTAGGTGTTACTTGTATTCTGGGGTTACTTGTATGGGTGTTACTGGTTTTGGTCGGGGTTACTTGTAGAGTGTTACTGGTTTTGTCAGGGGTTACTTGTAGGTGTTACTTGTATTGTGGGGTTACTTGTATGGGTGTTACTGGTTTTGGTCGGGGTTGTTACTTGTAGGGTGTTACTGGTTTTGTCAGGGGTTATTTGTAGGTGTTACTTGTATTATAGGGTTACTTGTATGAGTGTTACTGGTTTTGATCAGGTGTTACTGATTTTGATCAGGTGTTACTGGTTTAGTATGGGATTTTGGTCTGGAGTTACTTGTAGGAGTTACTCAAAATACAATTAACACATACAAGTAACCCCACGATACAAGCAACCTCATAATACAAGTAACACCCTACAAGTAACCCATAGAAGTAACCCTAAAATACAAGTAACCCGTGCCGCACCATGTGGCTTGCCGCACTGAAAAACCTATGTAAATATTAAGTGTTAATATTATTATTTGAAAATAATACTTCATATAAATACTCCTTCTGCTTTTGAATACATGTTCCATTTTTCCATGCACGGAGTTTTAGGAAAATTGGAGAAAGCAATAAAAAATATAGAGGTAGTGGAGTTACTGAAAGGTAAATTGAAGGAGAGAGAATATAAAGGTAATAAATATAATTTTATTGGGTCCCCCTAGTTAAGATAAATGAATTAAGTAATGTGAAAACTTTTCAAATAAGAAAATAGAGCAAATATTTTAAAAACGACCGAAAATAAAAAAGTAGAACAAATATTTAAAAATGGAGGGAGTAATTTATTTATGCTAATACATAACAACATAAGAATCATTTACGAATCAATTAAATAAATCTTCTACATTTTGTGGTTGATATACGGAGTATAACATAGGTTGAACTTGGATAGCAATAAAATAAATTATTTAGAGCGACTTCAAACATTCATTGAATATAAAATTGTGTTTATTTAGTTTTCTACATTGTGTTTGACGTATGCAGTATATAGTATGTTGAACATAGGTAGCAATAAAATAAATTAATTAGAGCCACTTCAAACATACATTGAATATGACATATTATAAATTAAACAAAGTCAAACAACAAAAACGTCGTTCACAAATACTTAAAAAAACTATTGTTACGATTGTTCCATAGGCCTAGGACACCAATGAAATTGACCCAATTACATGATGTACTAAATTGAAGGTAAGTAGGTAACATTTTTTTTTTGTTGTTCTACTGGATTCTCTCTTTGGCCTAATCTAAATTCGGGGATCAGTTATAGGTGGTTAGGTTTCAATCTCTTCCCAATTATTATTGCAACTTTACGGGGGATCGAACATGGGAGTAGGTAACATATTTTACCTTGACTTGACACCACAAAAATTGCACGGTTCATATTTTTATCTAATTGGTCAAGCAACTCAAGCCCATATTGCTTGTAAATTGGCTCAGCATGGTCAAGTACGTACCATATCCATGTCTATCTATTCTTTTAACCTATTCAAAAATATAAAATTAATTTGGAGATGGTGATATGCTTCATGACTTTGATTTAATGAACTTTAATTTGATAAATGTGGTGTTTAAACCTTAATTTAATAAGTTGTGCATGTTGTACAAATTGCTAACAATATAATTCATGAAATCATATTACTAAATCAACTCATTATAAATAAAATATGATTATTCCTACCATATTATATAGATAGTCAAATATAACTAAATTTATTATAACTTGTTAGCACGTAAATAGCGTTGTTCTTCCACCGCCAAACATTGAACATTGGTGATACTAGACGAAACGACGTAGACTTAATTTTGTGTTTTATTTTCTATTATCTTGCCGCACTATTCGTGGGTGGCACTAAGTTTTGGTACGTAAGTATGTTCCAATTAGTTGTGGTGACACTATATAAACCATGAATAGCTATCTATATCATTCAAAATTCTTACATCTCTTAATTTTATTGTAAAAAAAAACAAAATACTCTCAAAGTGTTTATTCTAATCTAAATTATGGCTTCACTTTTGCAAAAAACAATGCGATTTAGTCTGTTCATTTCAGTAGTGGCAGTATTAGGAACGGTGCAATTGTCAAACGGATATGCTATGAATTATAAGCCAAGTAAATGGAGCTACGCACATGCAACTTTCTATGGTGATGACAGTGCCTCTGAAACCATGGGTATATATCATTAAATCATTATTTATTTGATTTATTTTATTTTATTTTATTAGTGTAATCCTTTATATACATGATGTCTAACTTCTATTTCCATCATATAATTAGTGATGGTGATTATTTTAACCCTCAAATAGCTTATTTAAATACTAGTGCTACATTAAGGTTAATCACTTAAAGAATTGTAGTATCTATGTTAGAATACATAATTTTTTATGTAATATGAAGTATGTTTAGATTTATGAGAAAAATTACTATATTTGATGATTAACTAATAACACTATTAACTTATAGACATACATGTCATCTCTCTTTATTTTTGATTGAGCCTATTAGGCTATTACCTATTTTCATAGTTTTTAACATAGTGAAGTTTTTCAACTATTATTATATGAAATGCTGATTTTTAATTTATATTATATATATAGGAGGAGCATGTGGATATGGAAATTTGTTCAACAATGGGTATGGAACAAATACAGCTGCATTGAGCACAGTATTGTTCAACAACGGATATGGTTGTGGTAGTTGCTATCAAATAATGTGTATCGGATCAAAATGGTGCAATAGTAGGGGTTATGGCCACGGCCCGACTTCGATTACTGTCACGGCCACAAATCTATGCCCTCCAAATTGGGCTCAGGATAGCAATGCTGGTGGCTGGTGCAACCCTCCTAGAGCCCACTTCGACCTCTCCATGCCTGCATTCAAGAAACTTGCCTTTTGGAAGGCTGGCATTGTTCCTGTCCAATACCGAAGGTAATAAACTAAGCTATACACCGATCCTACATGTTCTTTTTTTTTTTTTTTTGTTTTTTTTTTGCTAAACCTAAGCTACATACTACAGAGTATTATGCATTAGAAGTTTCCCTTGTAAGGAAGGTCCCCTAATAGCCTCTGTTTTTCTAACCTCTTTATAATAATAATAATAATAATAATAATAATAATAATAATAATAATAATGAAAAAAAAGAGCTACATACTATTTGTTTTTAGTATTATTTTATAAAA